TGCAAGACCCAGAGCACTGGAGCCCGGACCCCATTCCCACTCTCTGACTCATCTGAATATCCAGCCACTCAAACCACGTTTGTGCAACTCAAATAAATTCCCCTTTATTGAAACTTCTACTCTGGTCTGCATCTGAGTTCTGGTCACCGGTCCTGACAACTTCTGTTTATAGGAAAACCCTTGTTGTTTTCTATCTGACAAGCATAGTGGTTACTTCAGATTCAACACACTTAACTATATGCACAACCAACTTTTTTTCATTATTATAGTTAAACTGAACTTAAAAGCAGTTTATGAAGAAGTAAAATTAGCTCCACCTTTAAGAGCTTTTAATTAATGTAAGTGCATTTACTTACCTTAAGTAAATAATTTTTAATTTCCAATGTTTACAATAGGTATTAGTTTTACCTTTTCATAGTTATTCTACCACTACCAAACATTCTCAATTAGGGAAACAGTGAAAATAAGACATTAATGGAAACTGGAGTTTTATCTAAGCCCCCCAAGCCACTAAATCCACCTCTGCCATCATTTGGGTCAGAAATATCTGGAGAAGTATAGGTTACCTGAACTGAATCGCAGCGGGCTTCCCTGAACCTCTCGTTAGACACATACCAGTTCTTTGTCGATCTTCCCAGTTACGATTAGACCTACAAACTGCTGTTTTTTTTCCTCCTTGCCCTCTTCGCAGCCAGCCTCAGTCTTTTGATTTAAAATTCAGGTTTACCTTGTTATGCCTTTAAACTCCAACGTATAGGGGCGGTTGACAGAGCACCTTCCAGTTCCACTTTCTCTCTAGTCTCACAATTAACTGTTTCTGGTGAGTGGTTTCACTTGGATTAAGGGCCTTTTTAACATTTGATTGTTGTGCGCTGTCTGAAAACTTGATGTGTTCCCACACTGCTGTTTTTCAGCGTACATTCATAATTCCCTGAAATTAAAAGAATGATCATTAACATCAAATCACCGATTAAAGCCAGTGTTGCAAACTAATTCAAAATATAAGGGAGGCAACAATTTAAATCATCATTCAGATTGTGATATAGTGGGAGAGCTTCTCTTCAACTCCAAATATTTTGTGCCGTAAGCTTTAAGTAGGAACTTAAAAGACTTTAACAGTAACAACAACTGAAACAACAAAATAAAATTGTTTTTTTCTAGGATATATATGTAAATATGTAAATCACTTGATCCATGTTCTCCTTTGAGAAAAGAAACAATTCCCCCTATTTCTGTAGGTCTGAGAGGAAAAAAGAATTTTTAAAAGATCTTTTCTTTTTACTTATTTAATGATAATACATAAATACATTTAAAACAATATCATGTTATTTTTAACCAGGAAAAAGGATGACTGAATGATTTCAGTTCAGTTTCAGACTTACACTGGAGTGCTTTTGAGACTTTGTCTCATTTACCTTTAGGTGTTTTGGGTTTGGGTTTTAAAAAATACAAGAGGGCTTGTGAATTAAAATCGATGGTTACCAACAGCCAAATATGTAGTTAATACTGGGGTGTGTCTATTGATAGCTTTTCCCCATTATACAGAATGGAAGGTCTGGATTCCCGCACGTCAGAGCAGAAGGAAAAAGCCCTAGACGGCACTTGTGTATCTATATGATTTGTCTACTGAGGCTGCACCATACTAGATCTACAGTATTTCTTACCATTTTAAATTTGATACTCCATCCTTATTTGAAAAACTGTGTTCAGTATCTTCCAATATTTCCTTGCCGTTCAGTGTCCACACTGCCTTCATGAGATTGTTTGGTGCAGGACCACATGTCACAGTCACCTTCCTCCCAAAAAATCCTTCAGATGGATCAAGCTTTAAAGGTTCTGAGCCTTTGAAGAAAAAGTCAATATTATACAATCATTAGATATTGCTGACGTGACAAACTCTTAAAATATTTCAAAGATGTGTAAAATTGTCTTACTGTCAAATATCACAGGGTATATCTCTGCCAGCTGTGTAAATATCCCTGTTTGTACTGCTCTAATTTCGGCCTCTGGAAGAGAAAGAGATGTTGCTCTTGAACCCAGTTAAAATATCCAATCACAAACAGTATTTGTAGTCCTTAAACACTGTATGGTTACTTGTTTTGCCTTAAGTACCCTAATTTACAGTTTAGTTTAGTCAGTGTTGACCAAGATACATTTTTAAATTTTTTAGGCAAAGACCAGGCAAGGCAAATTTATTTATATAGCACTTTCATACAATGCGACTCAAAGTGCTTTACAGAGTTAACGAGCAACAACAAAACAAGAAACAAGTGATAGAAACAATGCAATCAGACATACAAACAACAAAACAAACTAACATTTGATTAGAGATTACATTAATTAAAAGCAATGTTAAACAGGTAGTTATTTAGCTTGGATTTTAAAGTAGTCAGCATTGTTTCAAGTCTTAGTCCTTCTGGCAATTGTTTCTACATTTGAGCAGCACAGAAACTAAAGGCAGCTTCTCCATGCTTAGTTTTGACTCTGATACAGCCAGTAATTCCATGCGACACAGGCTACACCATACTATACATAAGCATGCAAATACCCCAGGAGGCCACATCACGGCCGAACCACCCCCGACACACCACGAGATCAACATCACAGCCGAAAGCCAACATCAGTCTATAATAGTATAATAAATAATTGTAATGATTAAATTGATTGGATAAATAATATTATCAATAGCTGTGATAAGTGCAATGATAGCATAGAATTAATAAATAGATCGTCAACTGTGTAAACTGGGCCAAGGCTGGTCCACATAGGCACAGAACCAGCACGGAGAGCAGGAGGAGTGCAGGCACTGCATAGGCCAACCTCTGCTGTCCTCCCATCCCAAAGACCTCCGCAGCATAGTATAGCTTAATTGATTATATTATGATGTCCATACAGACAGAAGTCATTGTCATTATCTATGTCCTCCCCTGCTTACTGAGAGCTGTGACATTCTGATGGCCAGGGGGACGAAAGAGTTTTTGAGTCTATTGGTGGGAGCTGGACTGGGGACAGAAGAAGAAGAAGAACTAAGTAAATTGTAAGTATTTATTACATACATATAATATTAATATATGTATGTATGTATGTGTGTATTATATATATATATTATTATATATACATCACTCTATATATTATATATATATATATTATATATATATTATATAATATATAATAATTATATATATATTAATATATATTATATATATATATATATATTATATATATATATATATAATATATATATATATATATCATATATATAATATAATGAGTGATGGTGATAGCGGTAGTGGGAAAACTTTCAGACCTCTCCAGTAATACACTATAGAGTTCTATGAAAACAACATGGCGCTAAGGCATATGCGCAAATAGATTGCTATATGACAATGTCAAATTCCACTGGGTCTTAGTTGAGTGAAGATACAGAAACAACTAAGTATCCACAATCATCAGACAAGTCGTACGTCAACCAACACATAAGAAACAAAATCCACAAATATAACACACACATCTTAAACATAGTGCAAGTATAATACATTCGACAATGAATATGGTTGTTCTATTACCCACGTCACATTATAAACATCAACAAATAAACATTTAATTACTGAAAACTTAGAAATTATCGGTATTCATTAGAGAGAAACGAACACCTAATATCAAATCTTGAAAATGGTATGTCGGAGGAGAACGCACACCATTAAAACCACATATGATCCTCGTCTCATTGGTGAAGATAACACGAAACTTCATATATGTGACACGGATACACACTACCTCCTAATCAATTGAGCCATTTAACATGTAAAATATACGATAGGTCAAGTAATGAGCCCAAAAGGCAAAACATATATATTTTCAAACTACTGAAATACTCTAATTTCCTTGATTTTACAGTGGCCAGTGGGAAACATAACTATCAAGAAAAGCACAACACAAGCCCAAATCATTCTAATCATAATCACTCATGTGTACGATACCGATTACGGTGGTTAGGTGTTGGTCTTAGCTCGTCAAAAACAGGAAAAAACATAAAAAAATTAAATAACAGTAAAACAAGAAAACAAGCATGCACATTATATTGATAAAAAAATATCATAGGAACACAATACAACAAAATAGACATGAACGGAACCGCATGTTAAACAATCTTCTTACATACTATATAAAACGGAAATGGTATAACATTCACAAAGATCAACACCTGAATACAAAACAGGCTTATAACATTTAACTACATGCAACAGAATATACTTGATATCAGACACTTTATAACTGAAAAAACCAACTAAACTGATATACGGATCACTTGAAGAGTGTCATCACAATAGTTCACTTGTTTCACTGAATCATAAAGTCAACACACCCTATCGATGATACAACAAACTTGCAAGTCATCTACATAAATAAAAAATAAATATATAAAATACTATAAAAATTTAGATCCCAAAAAAGCAGTAACAGTATAACAGCAAACATAACACAATATTAGCATTATTATTGGGGATTGAATGCATCATTAAAGCAAAAACAACACATTCTATATGGTCATAAACAGGTATGAATTACTCTTAAATCAAAATACTATAGACACTTACTGACAGACGTTCCTGATTTTGTGTCATACACCACATTATTATACTAAATGTATAAGTACAGCAACAGTAAAAATAAATCTCTCTACATCATAA